ACATTTTTGTGAGACAAAATAAAAGATCTAAATAAATGGAAAACTATTTTCTGGGAAGACTCAATATTGTGAAAATGACAATCCTACCAAAAGCAATCTACATGTTCAACACAGTCCCAGTATAAATACCAAGTTCATTTTTCAAGATGGAGTGGGGAATTATTTATTTGGAGAGGAAAGAAACCCCAAATAAGCAAGCACTTCTGAAAAACAAAAATGAAGTGTAAGACGTAGCACTCCCTGATCTCAAAATCTACTACACAGCAGTAGTAACCCAAGCTCAGGATAATATTTATGAATAAACTGCGCCCCCCCTTTGAAATCGGTTGGCACCTACTGCTGTCCCGTATCTAGACAGCCCCTCCATCTTCTCCTTGTTGCCTCTTCAAGGTTTTCCTCTCTTCTGCACTTTGGCCTCCTGTTCAGTCCTCACTGCAGAGATTTCCTGTGCTTTCTCACCCTGCTGTGAACTGTTCGTTTTCATCAGCTTGTGCTCTGACTTCTAGGTAAAGAACAGTGTTTTCTCAGGTCTGTCAAGTTCGTTGCCCGTTACCTACCTGATTCTCAGCTTCTGAGATACTGTTGTTTCCTTCCTCTTCCTCTTTTTCTCACGGCGATGCCTTTAGGAAACATTTTTAAAAATTGACATTTGAGGAATTTTGAGAGCTTGTGAATGTGAATGAATGTGTTAAGTCTGTCATCATTAACCGGCAGTCCTTCTAAATGATTTTCGCTCTAGCTGTTTATTCAGGTTATAGATGAGTGGAGGTGCTCGCTACAGAAGTGAATGGAACTAAGTCACCCCTGGGCTGGGAACTACAGCACACTCAGGATTGCCACTTGGGGGCTACGCTGCCTCAGCTGGGCCTGATAGGGGTTTAGCAGCAGGAGCAGGACAGCAGCTTGAGCCACTCGGCCAGTTCAGAGTGAATCCTTATACTTTGTCTCTTAGCCTCGCTCCTCTCAACCTATCTTGGCTTCCACATCCCATCAAGTGGAGGGTTAGCTTCTAATGCTTTTTTCCCCTTGTTCTTCCTCCTTGCAACTGACAGGAACAATCAGGAATTTCCTCTCCCAGAATACACAGGAGATTAAGTCTGATAATTGGTTAGGGAGCTCTGGTGGCTTAGTGGTAAGGAATTGTGCTGCCAATGCAAAGGTACGCAGTTCAAATCCACCAGCTTCTCTGCAGGAAGAAGATGAGGAATCTCTTGTGTGATTTATGGCCTCTGAAAACTAGGTTTAAAATCAGGAAAGGTGGTCATTCGGGTTGTATCCTTTCTCCATACCTGTTCACCTATTCAGCCTGTATACTGAGCGAATAATTTGTGAAGCTGGACTCTATGAAGAGAAGCGGCATCAAGATTGGAGGAAGATTCACCGACTACCTGCATTATGCAGATGACACAACCTTGCTTGTTGAAAGTGAAGAGGGCTTGCTACAGAAGATCAAAGGTTACAGCCTTCAATATGGATTGCATCTCAGTGTCAAGAAAACAAAGATCTTTGTCACTGGACCAATGGGCAACATCATGATAGATGTAGAAAAGGCTAAAAATGTCAACAATTTCATCTTACTTGGATCCACAGTTAATACCCTTGGTACCAGCAATCAGGAGGTCAGGGGACACATTGCTTTGTACAGGTCAGGGACCTCTCCAAAATTGAAGAGCAATGATGTCAGTTTTAGGACTAAAAGACTAAGGTGTATACTTTATTCAGGCCATAATCTTTTCAGTCACTGGCTATGCTGCTGAGAGCTGAACAATGAATAATGACGACAGAAGAAGGATTGTTGTCTTTGTGTTGCGGGGTTGGAGAAGAGGACTGCATAGCCCATCAACTTCCCAAAGAATGAATCAGTATGTCCTGGAAAAGGTGCAGCCAGAGTGCTCTGTGAGGGCAAGGACGGCAAAATTTCCTCTCTCATCTTGTGGACATGCTACTGTGAGAGACTGCTCCCTAGAAAGGGATAGCATGCTTGGAAAGGTGGAGGATCAGTGGAATAAGAAAGATCCCCCAAAACATGGATTGACACAGTGACTGCAGCAATGGGCCCAGGTGAGGAGGGCACAGAGTAGAAGAGAGGGTTCAGGTCTGTTGTTCATGGGGTCACTATGAGTCGTACTTGACTCAGTGGCACCCGAACAACAATCCTTTTGCATCAGACTGTGTTAGGCGTTCTCCTAAGACCAGGTCCGTTGATTTGACTCCAACCCATATGTGACAGGGTAGAACTGTATTCCGCGGGATTGTCTTTTTGAGTAAAAGTTGACAATTCTGGTTTCTCACGTAATCATTCACAGACATTTTGTTTTATAACACTAATTAGAATGGATCCATAGTGGGTTTATTTATTTTATACTGGTTTATTTACAAAATTCATATCCATTGTTTTTCACAATGGATATTTTCCCTTTCCTTTACCCATCTCATCCTGCACCCATCAAATTTTGTGACCCTTTGATTATGCTCCCCCACCACCCATCCTCACCCCTCTGCTTCACGCCCCACACTTGGATCCCCATATTCGTTCTACAACAGTGGTCTTATCTAGTATTTATCTTTATGAGACTGAATTAGTTCACTCAGCATAATGCTATCCAGTCTCTCTCAAGTTGGGTAGTCATTTACAAAATCATTGCTCCCATGTGCTGCGTAATATTCCATTGTGTGAATGGACCATAATTTCTCAGTCCACTCCTTTGTGGTTGGGCATTTGGACTGTTTCCATGTTCTGACGATGGTGAATAATGCTACTGTGAACACTGGTGTACAAGTCTCTGTTTGTGCCTCAATTCTCCAGGAGCAGATCAGCAATTCATTCTTTCAAGATGCTCTGGTGGACTTGAACCTCCAGCTTTTCAATTAGCTGTCAACCAGTCATGTCAACTGGTCATATTATCCAGGGGCCCTCATCTAAGCCTTACATTAGTACATAACATTCCCTACTTCCCTCACCCCCTAGAGGAAAAGAAATATGGCAATATTAAAGAATGCAACTGTTGACTTTTGCCAAAACATTCTGTCTCCCCACAAAAGCAAAATAGAGCAAAGATTATTCCAAAGACTTCGAGCATCTGTCTTTCTGACAATACTTGCGTTTTGTACACAGCTTCATTGTACTGGCCGAAGCATTGCAGTGTTAGTCTAATTAGTAACTGTACTTCCCCCACTCTCCCATATAAAGATCGTTCTCTCTGGTGAAATTCATTTGGAAAAGAAAAGATTTTTTTTTAATTGAGAGAATAATTTTAAATTATTGTTAAAATACTTACAGAGTGATTCTCTTTTCCCAAAGTTGTGCCAAATCTGTGGAACGTCGACGGGGAAGTTACTGTCTCAGAGCCGAAGCCGGGTGAAGTGGCCGAGGAACTTGCAAGCTCCTATGAACGAAAGCTCATAGAGGTAAGGAGGCCGCCATGGCCATGGCCAAGGCCGCATCTGCGAGGTGACCAACCTCCTGCTCCTATTGGCTGCTCTCACCTTCTCATAATTTCCAGGAAAACAGCCAGTCAGACACCATGTTCTCCACCCAGCCCCTCCACCCAGCCTAAGCAACCACCTAAAAACCTCTGCAGTTGAGAAATTAAAATATGAGCTGATATTTGAAAAGATCATTTAATTTCAATCTGAAGTGAATGGGGACAGGAGCCCTGATGGCACAATAGTTAAAACATTTGACAGGTCAGTGGTTCAAACCCACCAGCTTCCCAGCATTAGAAAACTGAAGCTGTTGGATTCCATAAAGATTTACAGCGTTAGAAACCCCATAGGGGAGTTTCAGTCCTATAGACTCTGAGTCAGAATCAGCTTGATGGTGGCAGGTTTAGTTGGGTTTTGGAAAAATGTGTAAGGAAATAAGAGAAACAATATAAATATGAATTGTTAAAAGTAAAGCACGTGTAGCCTCAGTGTTGAAGGAGATGAACAAGAGAAGATATACTGTTTAGCTTTGTGCTTCTAAATTTGCAGATAGGGATGAGATGGGCTGTTTTGTAGGGTAATATCAAAATTAATTGAAGATGAGGCAGATGGCCTGAGTGGATGGAAAGCAGTGAGGAAAAGTTACGAGAGAATAAAGAATTTACTCCGAGAGTAGCCCGTCCGAGTGTGCAGTTTCTGGGGAACCCTTCAAGGCATATTCGACAAGTCTTCTGTTCTTTCTGTAGCTCTGCTGGTATAGTCGTTAGGGGCTTGTGCACCTAACCTAAAGGCCACATCTCTCTAGCTGTTCGAATCCACCAGTCACTGCGCAGGAGAAAGATGGGCAGTCTCCTTCCCTGATGAGTGAGGAAAACCCACCAAAAGGTCAGCTGTGAGGCTGTTCTGACTTGATGACAATGAGTAGAGTTTGGAGTTTTGCTTTTTACTTTTCCCTTACAGCATTTTTAGCTCTATCTCAAGACATCTTTTAAAGTGTGTATACCAAAAGATAACTGTAGTTGTTACGTGCCATCGAGTCAGAACTGGCTCATAGCTGACCATAGTGCATTTTCAGAGGCTGTAAATCGCATGGAAGGAAATGTGAACTGTGTACTTTTGGTTGGGCAGCACACCTTCTTACCCATCAGACCACCAGAACTAACTAGAACCCTAAACATAACTAGATGCTGCCAAATCAGCTCCAACTTTTGGGTCGCGTAGACCTGTACTCCTGAAGATTTCAGGGGCTCATTTTTACAAAGTAGACTACCTTTCTTCTGGTTTACCTCTGGGTAGAACTGAGCCATCAATCTTTTGGTTAGTAGTGGAACACCTAACTGTTTTGCTATGTAGGGCAACCAAATGGTGTTTTTCTTTGTTGTTGTTATATGCTGTTAAATCACATGCAACTTATAGTGACCCAGCAGATCGAAAACCTGCTCTAGCCTATGCCAACCTCACCATCTCTGACACACTTGCCCCATTAGCCCAGTCACTGAATCAATCCACCTCATAGAGGGTCTTCCTCTCCTGCGCCGTCCCTCCACCCTCCTAAGCATGATATCCCTCTCCAAGGACTGGTCCCTCCTTTCAGCATGTCCAAAGTATGTCAGACGAAGCTTCAGAATCCTTGCCTTCAAGGAGCAGCTCGGTTTAACCTTCTCCAAGATGAACTTGTTTGTTCTCCTACCAGTCCATGGTATATGAAATTCTCATCTCCAGCACCACAGCTCAAGGACATCAATTCACCTTCTATCATCCCTAGTCATTGTGCAGCTTTCTGATGCATAGGAAGTAATTATGAAGACTGTGGCCTGCATCAGGTACACCTTAGTCTCCAGATGGACATCGTTACTCTGCAATACTCTGGAGAAGTCCCTGACAGCAGACTTTCCCAATATAAAAATAACCAAACCAACTGAGTAAAATGATAAAGCAAACAACAACCAAACCAACAAATCATGAGGAAACTATAGATGCCTGACATTTATTCATAACTTAAGACTCGCTGTCATCCATTGATTCTAACTCATACTGACCTTCATTGGGTTTCCAAGGCTGTAAATCATAATGGGAGGAGACTGTCCATCTTTTTCTCACAGAGCAGCTACTGTATTCATGTGGCATTTTGATTAGCATTGCACACAATACAGACTCTTCTTCCAGTTGTGTTTGCTCATAGATGCATAGAGCTTGTAGTAAGATTCTACTCAAATTCAAAGGAACAGTGAAAATAAGATATCCTTTTAGGATTTTAATGTGAGTTCATGCTAGGAAATTCATCTTTATAAGTTATCTCATTAACATGTCAAAGTTTTAAAAAAGTAAAATATTTTTCCTAATAAGTACTAAAAACTATTTGATGGCGTTCATTTTTTTTAAGAAGCAGCAACTAACAGTACTTCCTTATGATTTTTAATCATAAACCATTAATTATCACCAATGTTATTAGTGGTAAAACAGGCAGACTATTTTTAATTAGGTGAAAATATATACTCAACTCGTTGCCATCAGGCCAGGACTAACTTTTAGCTGCCTGTCTTTGTCCTGCAGATCCACTGCGGGTTTCAAACCACCAGAGAGGTTCCCCCTTTGGGGTTCTGGTTCTTTTTTAAAGCCTGGTTGTTGTTCTTGCCCAGATATTTCTAATAATTTCATTTATAATCTACTTCTGTTGTTTACATCCAAAGAATGCTGACACGCATGAACCTTTCTATATAGCATATGATTATTGTTGTACTACCCTGAGCCCATTGTTTAAGTCACTGTGTCGATCTTTCTTACTGAGGGTCTTCTCTTTTGCAGACCTTCCCTCTTTCCAGACATGATACCTGTTTTCAAAGCTCCTCCAGACAATGTCCCAAAAGTATGTGAGGTGCAAACGATGTCATCTTTGCCTTTAAGCAGCACGCTGGCTACACTTTCGTTTAGACATATTTAGTTATTCTTTTGTCCAATCATAAGGTATTCAGTACCCCTCTCCAACATCTCCACTCAAAGGCATCGATTCATTTCTTCTGTCATTGTTACTCATTGACAAACTTTCAGATAAATAGCAAGTAATTGAAAGGACCACAGTTTGAATTAGGTGCACCATCATTTTGGTGTTGTTTTTTTTATTGTGATTTTTAACGAAAGTTTACAGAAATGTTGGCTTTTCATTCATTCACGGTTGGCACCTTGATTTTCAAACTGACATTGCTGCTTCTCAGTGCCTGGGAGTGTCCTTTAAAGCAGATTTCCCTGATGCGACGCGTCTTTTAATGTTTGCATCCTTTTTGATCAATGGACACTAATTGTAGATGAATGAACCTTTTTATGCAGAGTGTGACTGTTGTTGTTAACTGTCTTTAAACCAGTTAAGACTCCTCTTGTCCTTATGTACAACAGAACCAGCTCTGCCTGGTCGTGTACCATTCTCACAATCGCTGCTGTGCCCGAGCCCACTTTTGGAGCTACTGGATGGATCCATGTCATTGAAGGACGTCTTCTTTACTGACCTTCTGGTTTACCAAGCATGAAGTCTTTGTCCTGGGACTGGTCCTTCTGTTTGTATTTCCAAAGTATGTGAAGTGAAGTTTCATAATCCTTGTTTCTAAGGAGCATTCCAGCTGCCTTTCTTCCAAGACAGATTTGCCTGTTTCTTGGGCAGCCCATAGTACAGGCAATATTCTTCACAAGTTACTAAATTCAAATCAAGCCAACTGCCATCGCATTGATTCTAACTCATGGTCACCCGGAGGCTGTACATGTTTACAGGAGGAGACTGCCTCATGGTAGGTATTATTACCCCGGACTTCCTTTTGTACCTGCTCTTACAAGGACCTATTATATTTCTCCTACGTTCTGACTGTCCAGAATCTTGTTTACAGCCCAGATCCTGGCTGTTTGTTTCGGCTTCTTATTATAATCCAACCTCTGCAAACAAATCCTTCTTCCCCTCCTCATGGCAGAGCTCAGCTAGCTGCTGATTGATTTTTTTAAATTATTGGATACTTATCATTTACTCTATGAATGCAGTTAATCTCTGAATTTTTGCTCTTGGGTGAAATAAATGGTATATTAGCAGCATTTATTCTCATCATAATGGCAGAGCCACTATTAATGGAAACATATGCGCAAGCATCAAGCTGGTAAAAAATCCATTCATAATCATGCACTGTCGATTACTGTGAATGTGATCATCATTTTAATAAAATATAAAAGCTCCTCAAGCAGACGAGGCCTTGGGAGCAGTTTTACCCCCAGCTCTTGTTTCACAAATTGGTACCAATGGATTCTAACACTCTTGATGTATCTGGGAGTCACTTTTATAGCGAATGACAGGGGATTTTAAATAAAACACTGCATTCCATGTGAAGACACAAGATAAAGAATACTGTGCTTTAAACTGATGCACAAAATGATAAATGTGATATGTTACATTTTTGTGAGGCTGAGCCAGTCAGGGACTCAGCTCTCATATCCTTTAATGGGAGAAAGTTTGCCCAAAAGTAAAACTGGACATTTAAGTGGTTGTTTTTATTCACGAGTAGAAACTTTTAAGTTCTCTTTTATAGGGAATTGAGTCTAATTCCTACTAAAATGTGGATGGCTAACAAGTGTAAACTCCCAAGGAATTCATAATGCCTTCAAATCCTTCACAGGAAAAGTTAAAATGTAGACAAGAATCATATAGGGAGCCTCCGTGGACTCATCATCCAGCTTCATGGCCAATCTTGGTTCATATATATCCCCTTCTACTGCCATAATAGTCTCTCATAATATTTGGAAGCAAATCGCTGGGTTTATGTGACTTTGCTCCTAAGTACTTCAGAATCTGTCTCTGAGATAGATATAAAGGCTCTCAAACAAAGCAAAGCAACCCAGCATAATCACTCTACTATCATTACACCTAAAAATGGCTTACAGAAGACATCTATTTTCTTGGTTTCCTAGGGCTTCCATAAAAATGTGCTACAAGCTGGGTGGTTTAAAACAAC